AGGGGAATTGAGAGAAGAGGGGGATAGAGAAAAGGAGGGTGGCGAGGTGGAAGTGAGGTAGACAAAGGGGAACTTGAAGAGGAAGGGACATAGAGAAGGAAACAGCAGAGGTGAAAGTGAGAAAGAGAAAGGTGAACTGAGAAAGGAGGGGGACAGAGAAAGAAGGAAGGTACAGAATTGGAGGTGAGAGAGCGGAAAGGGAATTGAGAGAGGAGGGGAACAGAGAAAGAAGGAGGTTAGGGAAGTGGAAGTAAGAAAAAGAAAGAGGGAAATAGCCATAAGCTTTTTGTGGTGCAAAATTGTTAATAAATAGGAGAAAAAGGGTAAATATCTGAAAAGGGAAGGAAGGGACGCTGGAAATAGATAGTAGGAAAAGGTTGATAAAGGAACGAAGAAGGAAAAAGAAAAAAAAAAGAAGAAGGATGGGGAGGAGAAGGCAATAGCTAGAGGTAGATAAAGGGAGGGAACGGATAATAAAGGAAGGAAGAAAAAGACAAACCGATAGATGAAAGTCAATGAATGGAGAGAAAAAGGGTGAAAGTCTGTAAAGGGAAGGGGGCGAAAAATGAATAGGGAAAAGGTTAATAAAGGAAAGAAGAAGGAAAGAAATAGAGAAAGGAAGAGACAAGATGTCAGTAAAGATCGAAACCGGGTAAGAAATCTGGAGAGGGAAGGAAGGGATAAAGGAATATATAGAGACAGACAAAGGAATAAAGGAAGGAAAATGAAACAAGTAAATGATAAAGAAATAGGAGATAAGTCAAAAAAGGGTGAAAAGGGGATAAAATAGAAAAGAGAAGGCTGGGAGAAGGGAATAGACATAGGCAAATAAAGAGACCGAAGGAGAGAAAAAGCTGATAAAGGAAGGCAGAAGGAAAAGGTAAATAAAGGGAGGAAAAAGGAAAGAAGTTAATAAGTAATGGAAAGGGAAGGGAAGAAGGGAATATATAGAGATAGATAAAGAGAGGAAAAGGGAAGTCCAAGAAATGGAGGAAAATAGATAAAGGAAGGAAGTGAAAATTAGTAGACAATCAAAAGTGAGAAAAAGAAGTAGAAGAAGAAGAAGAAAAAAAAAAACATATCAGTAAAAGGAGGAAAGGGAAAATCAATAAATGGAGGAGAATGAACAAAAGTTGATGAAGGGATGGGAGAAAAAACGAGCCAATAAATACGAACGGAAATGAAAAAGGGGGGAATGAGTAGTGGAAAGAAGGAACAGGAGAAAATTGAGAGTACGAAGACCACAATAATAAAAATAAAGCTAAGAAAGACAAGAAGCGATAAGAAAGGATCCGACAACCGAGAAGGAAGGAGATGGAAAACGTGGAGTAAAGAAGAGGGATAGGGAAAGAGGTGATGATTTACGGAAGGAAAAAAACAGGAAATTTGGAGGAAGAAGAATGGGAAATAAGATTAATAAACGAAAGGAAAAAGGAGGGTAAGGGTGGGGGAAGGAGGTGGAATAGAGAGAGGAAAAGGGTAATTAAGAGAAGAGGGGGGATAGAGAAGAGGGAGAATAGAGGAATGGAGATAGAAGGTGGTTGGAGGAAAGGAAGAAGATAGAGAGAGAAGGGGAGGGAGAGGAGGGGAAAGTAAAAAGGAACGGAAGGGGAAAAGGAGAGAAAAGAGGGGAAATATGAGAGAAAAGAGGGAGGGAGAATTTTGAAAGAGGAAGAGGTGAAAATATGATATAACCAGGGTATTCAAAGTACCTGAAAAAAAATGAAAACCTGTTTTTTTCTGTCTCTATTTCCTCAGAAATTATTAGCGATAGTGATACCAAAGAGGATGACAATGCTGATGGCGATGTTTATGACACTAATAATGCAAGTGAGTGAGAGCGATCATATAATAGCGAAAGCGATGGCCGTTATAGCAATGCCATATACCTTGCCTTTCATAACTGGGATAACGATTATGATGATGAAACTGATCCACGCCGCCCCCCCCCCCCGTAAAAAAGGTAAACAAAGACATTTTTTCCCATCCATTTCGAGCTCGTTCCCCTTATTTATCGCACAGATCTCACAGGCAAGGAAGGCATTCATAAAAAGGGCGTGAGGCAGGGGGTGGGCGCTTTAATTAATCCGGGAAAACGAGCAAAGTCTAATTTTCCATTTATATGCACATCACAAACGCGTCACAGCCCTGTAGATGACAGTACTTTCGATTTTTCCTTTTTTTTGGGGGGGGGGGGGGGCACCGAAAAGCCGAGGAACCTTGCGTGCTTTTTTTTTTTTTTTTTTTTTTTTCACTGGTATGTGTTGTAGTGAAGTGTTTATTTCAGATCCAGTGAATGATTAAGCGTGTAGCATTGTCAAAGAACGCGATTTATTTGCTTGTTACATGCTGGTATTTATTCTAGTTCTCTTTTTGATTTTGGTCTTTTCTGGACCATGAAAATTCTAATCGCGCTTCTGCAATTTCATTCAGCAAACCGTAATCTGTAAAACGTGTAATGCGCCATTGGCTTTATCGACATATCCAACCATAAATCATC